TCTAATGTGGTGCCATGTTTTACGCAGGTTGATGACAACAAGAAGCTGGGGGAATGGGTTGGTCTCTGCAAGATCGACAGGGAAGGAAAACCCCGCAAAGTAGTGGGCTGCAGTTGCGTGGTTGTCAAAGTAAGATGATGCTAATCATAGTTTGTTCGTTGACTTCTGAAAATTGGTAGAGATAAGGATGTGTTAGATAAAGGACTATTAATAAAACTCTCTTACTTTTTTTTGTTTCTGAACAGTTGCTTTCCATTGTTGATAGTAGAAATAGACTGCTTCCCTGTTCTATGTTCCCTTTCATGTTTACCTAAAGTACTCATATTTGAATTAATGGTTGTCTTTAAAGTATCTGCCCACTTGCCAGCAAGCATTTAAAGGAAAGACCTTTTAACTAGAAGAGATGAAGCATTGTTTCAGGAAAAATGCCAGTTCAATGTGTCTGCTCAACTTGAAAGTGTTTTGCAGAGCATATTTTAAAAATGACACTGGTAAAGTAAAGCCACAGTACGAGCCTTGAAGACTTGATTGTCTTTGAGGTCCCAAGAGATGGCTACATCTTTGCAATAAATACCAGTGCCTTTTGCCTGTATTTCTATACTTTAGTTACTGTTTTGCATACTTGGCTTTCTTTAAGCAGAAATGAAGAGCTTGTTTGGATCCATACCAGTGGGTGTTACTCTTGAATGAATTAGAATAGCCCTTTATTAGAATAGTATTTTAAAGAACAAAGGGAAGGCAGCTGGCAAATTGCTTCAGGTTCCTTATATGAAATTTTGGGAATGCCTTGAGCAAAAAGTGTCAATCTCAGTTGTTGCTTCCTGAAATAGATAGTAAGATTTTGAATGGGTCTGTATGTTATTTATGGATTATCTTCTGTTACAGGACTATGGCAAAGAATCTCAGGCCAAAGATGTCATCGAAGAGTACTTCAAGTGCAAGAAATGAACGGAAAATAAATTTTGAACCTGACTAGTGTGTGTGTGATTAATGGGTGGGTATCTGTGGAGTAGCTCTTCCGGGTTGCAAAGAATGTTTTCTTTGAATTATCAGAAGATGAAATGACTTTGCAGGTCCTGGTGTAAGTTATTTGTATTTTAATTCTGTCAGCTTCCTCAAAAGATACTGGTGATCCCTGCCATGTCTTGTCTAGGGTGCCTTGTTTTCTTGCTCTTACCCAGAGGCTCCAACCTGCAGAATGTAGCACTGCTTCTTAGATACAGAAGTGCTGATGGCTGATGACTGCCTCCGGCAGTGCTTAAAACTGCTTCTGCAGGGATTCTGAGTAGCTGCTTAGGGGAAGTCTGAAGTACTGCTGCATCTGTGATGAAACTTTGGCTCCCTCTACTGAAACAAATGAGGAGAATGGCCTTAACCGTTACCCAAGTCTTCTGAGATGTTGCAGGAATTTTTTTAAGGCCATCTCTATTTAGGAAGCTTGACAAGAGATGTGTTTTGTTGGAGTCCTGGGTCCCTTGTCCCCCCCTCCCTATTCTGAAGCAAATAGTGGTTGGAATTAGCTTCTTGTAAGAAGTATTGTCAATGTACCTTTGCATCTGATTCTTTAGGAGTTCCTGGTAATCACGTGAACATGAGTGTGGGGCTGGGCACCTGTAAACTGAGATGGGAAGATGTATTTGTGTACTTCCCGGGCTCTAGAGCTTCAGTCATCACTGGTTGGTAATGCTTGTTGGTATCCTTGTCATTCATGCAGTGCAGAAGCATGTGTCTTCACCTGCTGGTGTCAGGTGTGCTTGGAGTTCTCATTAAACCTTTTGGAGGTGTCTTGGTGTTGGCCCTGTCACAGCTTTCTAGTAGCTAGGTCTGGGTGACTTGGATTTTTGAGAGGTTCCTGCAGTATCATTTTCAGGTGTTCCTAATGGAGTCACCTGTTCCAGGTCTGGTTAAAACCAAAAAAGTATCCTTGTACTGGACTTCATATATGTCTGGTCTTGTCTGAATTTTTCAGTGAAGGAGATATTAACTAAAATGTTGAGTTACTTTGTCAAGCTATTGCAAATAGAAGTTGATATGTGTGTGTTAATGTTAACTGTTTTGGTGGTTTTTAATATAGTTGAAATTGCAGAAATTCATCATCCTTGATAAGGGCCTTTAGTTGCAGATCTTATGTCATTAAATTATTAAGAGGTTTCTACACACTGATAATAGGAGTAACTTGTGAGTATTCTTTTTTAAAATGGAGTTGAAAGACATGATCTTGTGGAAAACTTTCAGATGAGTTTGCCTAACAATTTTGAGTATCTGACTCCTGTGTACAGAAGCACACAAGATCATTGCTCTTCTGTTGTCCTGTCTTAGGAAGCTGCATCTTCCAAGAGTTCTGGATAAAGCTGTTAATGCTATTTTTTGTATTTTTGTAATGTTGCTTGCAGCTGTATTCTGGAGAAATGGTGGTGGCATTGACAGCCTAATGGGATTTATGGTTTTCTTTTCCTTGGCTGCCTGTTTAAACAGTGTTAAATTTCCAAAGGGAATTGGGATCCCAACCCAGAGCTCAGTACCAGGGTTCAATGGCTTGTTAGTTGCTGAGGTTGAAAATGATTCCCTAATGGAACATGGTTATGTACCAGAACAACCTACCTGCTAGGACTAGTAAAGTCCTCTTAATTCTTTACATCTCTGGACACAGGGTAGCAAACATGCAATCCAGTAAGTCCCTCCAGAGTAGTGGGTGAAGAGTTGAAGCAGGTGAAATCCATAAATCAAATTTGAGGAAGCCTTTGCTAAGTCTGCAAGCACATTAACTTGCAGATGTTTGGCTTTTTGGCTAAAATACAGCTTTTCATTTTGCTGTGTTTTTTTTTAACACAAAATGACTCCGGAGAATGAAGAGCGTTTTCTGTAGTCCAGATACGTTTCACTGACTGACTACTAAGGGAGTTGAGACAACTAAATCCTCTCTAGATCTTTACTTTCTGGATGTATGTGACTATGAAGTTAACCTGCTTATGGTTTTAAGGTTATTTGGTAAAAACGGGTTTGCTTTATCATGGGTAAACAGCTTTGGATATTTTCTTTCAAGCTGGATTTGCTCTTCAGAGTGGAACCTCAGATTGGATTGAGGTCAGCTCAACATGGAAAACTTCCAGTACCACTTCCACAAACTTCCTACTGGTAGCTTGTGAAGTACTGATGCCAACACTTAACTGAAGTTTTTTTGGGGGGAAGACTGATATGATTTGCTAAGGGAGGAAATGGGAACAGTATCGGTAGAAGAAATGTTCATGTCCAGGTGAATTGTAGTTCTGAGGTGATCATACTGGAAGGAAAACTGTCGCTGAAAAGTATGAGTAAAAATAAAGCTTATAAGCTGTTACTTCAGAATTCTGAAGTTGCTTGGTTGTTAGTGCTTTACCTCCTGTAGATGTGGAAGGCTGCTCACCTTGTGGTGTGTATTTAATACCAAAAGCTGTTTCCCTTTGAACTTCCCTCAATATTTAGGGAGAAAACTGATCAGGGTAACATGCTGCACTGTGGTATCATCGCAATGGGTGCTGGAGTTGGACAGGAAATGGAGAGAAACAGGATATGCTGTGTAAAGAAAGGGGTTGCAGTAAGATTGTGTTTGGTTAGGCTGGAGTAGTGCAACAGCACCGGTTTCAGATTAACGCTAAAAGTAGGTAAGTGTCTGTTCATGGATTTGGTGTTTGGTGTGCTGCTTTTTACTCTCACAGGGTAGTGAAATTCCTTATAACAAGTTGGGGGCTCAGTTTTGGGGTTTCTGAAGTTGTACAGTGGCAAGATACAATCCGTAGGTCTGTAAGGTTTAAGAATTAACACACTGCAAACTGGTATGTCTAGTCAAGCTGTTTGTCTCAACTGTAATTTAAGTAGATCCTTAAGGCGGTTTACGTACTTTAAACCTGCAAGCAGTTTGAGAACAGTCCAACTATTCAACTCTGCAGGGTATTCTACTTTAAACTTTATTTTCAGTGAGGGGAAAAAATGATCTTAATTACCAAAATGGTTTCTGTTTCGTTTACACCATGGGATAGTGGAGTTTCTTCAGCAGTAGCTGGGTTAGACATTTCCTCTTAATCAGTGATCAGTTAGGAAAAGGGGTTCAGGAAAGGAGAGCTGTAGTCTGTGAGCAAGTTTGTTAAGCATTCTTTTGGAACAATGGAATGATACTTTTTTGAAACAAGCCACCTGATTGTTTTCTATGATAATACTAGGGAATGATGGCTGTCGTTTCATGCCAAGGCTTTTTCATTGGAACAGAACCAGCACTTCCTGAACACTTTAGACAGAAGGAATTGGGTTGAGATCTTAATTTTCTGATCAAAATGCTTACATACTGAGTTAGGGTTTTTCCTGTAATGTTTTGTGTCCTGGGTATGACCTTAGTGACCTAGGGTCAGTGTTGGAGAACTGACTGACTCTCTTTACTTTCTACTTCACTACACCTTATACTTAAGGCTGCCCCTAGTGTTTTATTTTTAAAAATTTCCTGAGAACTGAATTTCACCCAAATTTTCTGGTTCTCAGTGATCTTCTGTGAAAGTTAATTGTGGTTTTTGTTTTTTATTCAAGTTGGCCAAGGAAGACAAGTGATAGCCAGTCTTTCATACTGGAAAACTTGGCATATGCTTCTGAGACCTCTTTGTAGACTAAAGACATGGTTTCTTCACACTTTCTTGTAGATGGCATTTTATTTTTTTCTGTAAAAGATGTACTGATACTGATATATCTGCAATCCTGCAGGATACGGTTTCAGACAAGCAGACTTTGGGTTGCTTATTTAATAATTTATTAAAATAATAGAGTTATAGCAATCTGCAGTCGACCTAAAGGTACTTGTTACCTGTCCCCTGAAAGTGTGTGGTTAGACAGTGCTAAACATGAGACTGGGAATCGAAGAAAGTCAGGACTGACCCTGAATACCGTTGCTGATCATAATGTCCTGTGCAAGTTTTCCTTGTGAAACAGTGATCATGCAGAATGGTTTGCTCAACTCTGCATGTGTCATTGTTTTTGGTTGGCAGAAGTAGAGGAATAGATTTCTCTTCCTGAACTATAGTACCAGTTTTTAGTGCACTTGCATGGATTGGTAGTCCTTTCCAGGCCTAAATTCTTACGTTTCCATGTGAAGTAAGCTAAAAAGTGAAGCCAACAAAGTGCTTTGAAGAAATGCTGGTAAGGCATTGTGAAGGTGTGAAGTACAGACTCCTGGACAGTATTGGAAGAATATCCCATATGAAATTAAAAATAAATTATGTTTTAACAGTTAAACTTGTTTTGTCTCTGTGTTGTTCTGGCCACTACTGCTTTTGTCCTGCGAGTTCTGCCTTGTTAACAGGTGGAGCATCTGGACAGCACCACCACCATGTATTTGCACAGCTCCTGCTTTGGTGGAGTAGGGGCCCTGACTCTGGGTCCCATGGTGGAGTTGGGTTATACCTGCCCTTTGTGCTCTCCCATGGCAGTGCCTGTCTTATTGGTTCAATCCCTTGGACAACAGCAGTACTACTGCATGCTGATTCTGGTGAAGAAGGATGTACGTGTGCTCGTGAGGTATGGTAGCAGCCCGCGTGCTCATGTGAAGGGAATGTCATGTCAGGACAGCTCATGCATGTCTGGCCCTCCCACTGTAATAAACTATGTTTGGCAGTAGCACAGATGTCAGGGGATCGGGGCTTGTCAGCACCAAGTTGCCATGCTGCATGAGCACTCCTGTGTGCTCCAGCTTTTCCTACAGGGAAGCTGGGAGGGGACTTTTTACAAGGGCAGGTAGTGATAGGACAAGGGGTAACAGGTTTAAATTGAAAGTGGGGAGGTTTAGATTGGATATCAGGAAGTTCTTCACGGAGAGGGTGGTGAAGCACTGGAACAGGTTGCCCAGAGAAGCTGTGGATGCCCCATCCCTGGAAGTGTTCAAGGCCAGGCTGGATGAGGCTTTGAGCAACCTGGTCTAGTGGAAGGGGTCCCTGCCCATGGCAGGGGGGGTGGAA